TTTTTTTGTTTTTTTGAGAGGTTTTGGCCATAGGGCATGTGCGCTTGCCAAATGGACAAAGAGTGACAGAGAGACAGCAAGAAATCACCCCCCAGGGGGGATGGTCATACCACAATCCCTTCTCCTCCATTCTCCTCTCGGGAACTTGGGCACGCACAGACACACGCCCATTGTGAGTTTTAAACCACCGGGTCCGGGACGTGAACTGCAGTTGACTACATGAGAGTCCAGCGACATAGCCATTACACTAACTGCTGGTCCCAGTATCAAAAGGTTTTTAAAAACAGTAAATTCACAGGTCTTAACTAGTTTTTATTTACATTACAAAGTAGTATGTGCTGTTCTACACAGTATCTGCTTCAGTGTTGAGTACTTGAAATGTGGCTAGTCCTGGCTGGCAGGTGGTGTGGTGGTTAAGGGCACTGGACTCCCACATGGCCAACTGTGGTTCAAGTCCCACACCTGGTGGCTTGCATTCTCTCTCTCTCTCTCTCTCTCTCTCTTCTCACTCAGTCCTTCTATGGTCAAATTAAATGAATAAATAAAATACAATAAATAAAGTTCAATAAAATCTTTAAAAATAATAAAGAAATGTAGCTAGTCCAAAATGAGGTGTGCTGACAGTGTAAAATACAGAGGAGTTCAAAGAGTACCCTTAAAAATTAAAAAACATCTCATTCATCAGTTCAATGCAAATTACATGTCAAAATGATAACATTTGGATATAGTGGGTTAAAATTATATAAAATTAATTTTGCCAATCTCTATCTTTTCAAATGCAGCTACTGAAAAATTTGACATTACACATGTGACTCGTATCCATGGCTCGCATCATGTTCTGTTGGATGGCGCTGTTGTGGGTCTTGTCTCCTACCCATCTAGACCAGAATATTTCAGAGTCACTGAATGCCTGTTTATGGAATAAATAATGACCATACGATTTATTGAAGGAAGAACATGGCATTGAATAAAAATACTACTACACATGAGTTTTGCGCATTATCATTCTATAAAGCTCTTTGTACATCTATATCTTGTTTGATCATCCTAAAAATCTTGAGCTGAGAGTGACAGATTTCTAACCACTTATGACAAGTGAGGGAACTGAGGGTACAAATAATAGATGCTGCTTATTATGGATATGAGTAATTATAATGGAAAGGAAATAAAAATTTTGCTTACAGGAAGCTTTGTAAAAGTTTCATGACCCTTTGCCCTGGACTTGCAACATCCCAGCAGCTGCTCACCTGATACCCATGAGGCTGTTAAAATCCTCTAAGAATCTATAAGCCAAGGCGAGCCTGTGGCCTGGTGGTTAAGGTGACTGGACCTCATACGGCTGGCCATGCCGCTCCAGTCCCAGGCCCAGCAGCTTGAGAAACGTGCTCATGCATGCCCCAAATCCCAGCAGGATGAAGAAATGGAAGAGAAGGGATTGCAAGGAAGGGGGTGCTTTCTTACTTTCGCTTCCCTCTCTGTCTCCAACAAGGAGACACGCCCTCTGGCAAATTAAAAAATAAAATAAAATCTGGGGGCCAGCAGGTGGCATGGTGATTAAAGACACTGGACTCCCACATGGCCAACAGCAGTTCAAGTCCCAGACTTGGTGGTGGCTTGCTTTCTCATTCTCTCTCTCTCTCTCTCTCTCTCTCTCTCTCTCTCTCTGGTGAGCACATATATCCTATAGCAAATTAAAACAGTAATAATAAATAAAATAACATAAATAGTTTTAAAGATCTGCAAGCTACTGTCTTGCTCTCTGTCTTCTCTACTTTGTTCCAGTGACCCTAGGGAGGCCATTGGTGCAGGGGAGTGGGGCATGGACATCAGTGATAAGAGGAGGAGTGGAAAAATATCTTCCCTCCAGATCCACTTGTGACTTGGGGCAGAGCATCTTGGTCCCAAGGTCCTTAACAGATTATGTCGGCTTAGTTCCTGAAACACA